CAGTCTCTGTCTGCAGTCTCTGTCTGTCTGCAGTCTGTCTGGAGTCTGTCTGTCTGCTGTCTCTGTCTGTCTGCTGTCTGTCTGTCTGCAGTCTCTGTCTGTCTGCAGTCTCTGTCTGTCTGCAGTCTGTATGTCTGTCTTGTCTGCAGTCTGTCTGTCTGTCTGTCTGTCTGCAGTCTGTCTGTCTGCAGTCTGTCTGTCTGGAGTCTGTCTGTCTGCTGTCTCTGTCTGTCTGCAGTCTCTGTCTGTCTGCAGTCTCTGTCTGTCTGCAGTCTGTATGTCTGTCTTGTCTGCAGTCTGTCTGTCTGTCTGTCTGTCTGCAGTCTGTCTGTCTGTCTGCAGTCTGTCTGTCTGGAGTCTGTCTGTCTGCTGTCTCTGTCTGTCTGCAGTCTCTGTCTGTCTGCAGTCTCTGTCTGTCTGCAGTCTGTATGTCTGTCTTGTCTGCAGTCTCTGTCTGTCTGCTGTCTGTCTGCAGTCTGTCTGTCTGTTTGTCTGTCTGTCTGCAGTCTGTCTGTCTGCAGTCTGTCTGTCTGCAGTCTGTCTGTCTGCAGTCTGTCTGTCTGCAGTCTGTCTGTATGTCTGTCTGCAGTATGTATGTCTGTCTGTCTGCAGTCTCTGTCTGTCTGTGTGCAGTCTGTCTGTCTGTCTGTCTGCAGTCTGTCTGCAGTCTGTCTGTCTGTCTGTCTGTCTGCAGTCTGTCTGTCTGTCTGTCTGCAGTATGTCTGTGTGTCTGCTGTCTGTCTGCAGTCTCCGTCTGTTTGCAGTCTCTGTCTGTCTGCAGTCTGTATGTCTGTCTGCAGTCTGTCTGTCTGTCTGTTTGTCTGTCTGTCTGCAGTCTCTGTCTGTCTGTCTGCAGTCTGTATGTCTGTCTGCAGTCTGTCTGTCTGTCTGCAGTCTGTCTGCTGTCTGTCTGCAGTCTCTGTCTGTCTGCAGTCTGTCTGTCTGCAGTCTCTGTCTGTCTGCAGCCTGTCTGTCTGTCTGCAGTCTGTCTGTCTGTCTGCAGTCTCTCTCTGTCTGTCTGCAGTCTGTCTGTCTGTAGTCTGTCTGTCTGTCTGCAGTCTGTCTGTCTGTCTGCAGTCTCTGTCTGCCTGCAGTCTGTCTGTCTGCAGTCTCTGTCTGCAGTCTGTATGTCTGTCTGTCTGCAGTCTCTGTCTGTCTGTCTGTCTGTCTGCTGTCTGTCTGTCTGCATTATCTGTCTGTCTGTGCAGTATGTCTGTCTGTCTGCTGTCTGTCTGTCTGGAGTCTGTCTGTCTGCTGTCTCTGTCTGTCTGCAGTCTCTGTCTGTCTGCAGTCTCTGTCTGTCTGCAGTCTGTATGTCTGTCTTGTCTGCAGTCTGTCTGTCTGTCTGTCTGTCTGCAGTCTGTCTGGAGTCTGTCTGTCTGCTGTCTCTGTCTGTCTGCAGTCTCTGTCTGTCTGCAGTCTGTATGTCTGTCTTGTCTGCAGTCTCTGTCTGTCTGCTGTCTGTCTGTCTGCAGTCTGTCTGTCTGTTTGTCTGTCTGTTTGTCTGTCTGTCTGCAGTCTGTCTGTCTGCAGTCTGTCTGTCTGCAGTCTGTATGTCTGTCTGCAGTATGTATGTCTGTCTGTCTGCAGTCTGTCTGTCTGTCTGTCTGCAGTCTGTCTGTCTGTCTGCAGTATGTCTGTCTGTCTGTCTGCAGTCTGTCTGTCTGTCTGTCTGCAGTATGTCTGTGTGTCTGCTGTCTGTCTGCAGTCTCCGTCTGTTTGCAGTCTCTGTCTGTCTGCAGTCTGTATGTCTGTCTGCAGTCTGTCTGTCTGTCTGTTTGTCTGTCTGTCTGCAGTCTCTGTCTGTCTGTCTGCAGTCTGTATGTCTGTCTGCAGTATGTATGTCTGTCTTGTCTGTAGTCTGTCTGTCTGTCTGTCTGCAGTCTGTCTGCTGTCTGTCTGCAGTCTCTGTCTGTCTGCAGTCTGTCTGTCTGCAGTCTCTGTCTGTCTGCAGCCTGTCTGTCTGTCTGCAGTCTGTCTGTCTGTCTGCAGTCTCTCTCTGTCTGTCTGCAGTCTGTCTGTCTGTAGTCTGTCTGTCTGTCTGCAGTCTGTCTGCAGTCTCTGTCTGCCTGCAGTCTGTCTGTCTGTCTGTCTGTCTGCAGTCTCTGTCTGCAGTCTGTATGTCTGTCTGTCTGCAGTCTCTGTCTGTCTGTCTGTCTGCTGTCTGTCTGCATTATCTGTCTGTCTGTGCAGTATGTCTGTCTGTCTGCTGTCTGTCTGTCTGCAGTGTCTGTCTGCAGTCTGTCTGTCTGTCTGGAGTCTGTCTGTCTGTCTGTGTCTGCAGTCTGTCTGTCTGCTGTCTGTCTGCAGTCTGTCTGTCTGTCTGCAGTCTGTCTGTCTGCAGTATGTATGTCTGCAGTATGTATGTCTGTCTGTCTGCAGTCTGTCTGTCTGCAGTATGTATGTCTGTCTGTCTGCAGTCTGTCTGTCTGCAGTATGTATGTCTGTCTGTCTGCAGTCTGTCTGTCTGCTGTCTGTCTGTCTTCAGTCTGTCTTCAGTCTGTCTGTCTGCAGTCTCTGTCTGTCTGTCTGCACTCTGTCTGTCTGCAGTCTCTGTCTGTCTGTCTGCACTCTGTCTGTCTGTCTGTCTGTCTGACACTCATCTTCCCATACATTACAGGGAGATTTATTCAGTGAAATCATCAAATAAAACTAAACACGATAGTTGGAGTTTTATAACATTAATACTTTTAAGGTAATTACCAGCTAACAAAATATATTCCAACAATGTTTTTCATACGTTCCTATTAAGTTATGAAAACATTATCTTCAAAACACCCATACAAAACATTAAGGGAACATTGCATTTGATCATTCTTTAAACATGGGAATGTCACTGAAAATCCTGAAACCAGTATCAACATTTAAAATATCCTTGATGAACATCCACCTATAACATTTCAGGGGGAAAAATGATCCATGAACGATGTATAAATAATGTTTTTGTGCTAATGTTTTGAGAACGTTATTAAAGACCAGATAACTTTAAACAAACATTATATTAATGTTACTGGAAGAATGTTAGCTGAAGAATACCTTAACATATTTGTTTATCTTCATTTTATTCAGGAACATATTTGGTACATAGATAGATTATTGACACTGAGTTCTGAGTTGGTCTAGTTTCTCTATGGGTAGAATAAACCGCCCTCACAAAATCATAATATTTAATTGGTAAATGCACAAAATCAACAACAACATGTACTAATACAACCTTACAGTTTTCTATTGAACTGAAAAATGAAACTGCCCCCAGGTTACAGTCTGAATTTGATGTAAGGCCGTGAAAAAACATGTACGACAAAACAATGGCAAGAAAATGAACTAAAAAAAAGTAAGGACCTGGTTCTCTTAATGATTCATTCAAGATGACTCACAAACTCTCTCAGTCTGAGGAATACTACACGAAATGAACTTACTGAATTCATCTGGGCTTTTTCCCGAAAGCGTGGTAAAAGGCAGTAGACCAGTA